CGATCAGAAAAAATAAAATCAAATCCCAAGCGGCCCATATTTTGTAGGTCAAATTCCTTCCCCATTAACATTCTCAAAGAGTTATTTTCTGTCTGATGACCAAACTCTACCACTAGTTCCGTTCTCTGCTGACGGCTGACCACAGACACTGCCTGGCATCGCTTCTCTCCATACCGCCTGTACTCACACGGGTGCCTCAGAGGAGCTCAAAGTTTGGCGTTTTGGGAACCGGTCAAACCAGGAGGGTATCTGACCATAATGAAAATGCTGATTTTGTCCTCGTCATTTTAAGATGCTACAGAAAAAGAAAGGAAAAGAAGTTGATTTGACTTCTGTTTGTAAACTTATCATGTACTGTCATCTTTCCCTCGTACATTTAAGTTTCAAACAGGTCCCAGAGATTGCAAGGCAAGAGTGTTAAGGCAGTATAAGAAACTCAGTATTTCATTCACACCTCTTGATTCCCTTAAAGGTATTTCTAAGGCATCAAAAGGGGCATGTGGTTTGTGCTTGCCTTTTCAGAAAAAGGCATTCGGTATAGTGTAAAAAATGGATGCTCAATGACAGACGGAAGCCACTCAGCCCCGGGCAATGGCCACACCATCAGAGAGGAACAGGGAGATACGGCGGGGTTTCCTGGGTGTGGGTTCCTCACCATCGCTCTTTCTGGTACACCTCTGTTTGTACAATCTCACCGGGGTGCTCAGATATGCAGGCCCCGTTGATGTCACTGAGCTTGTTGTCTGGAAGATCCTCGGGTTTTGTGCAAAGTTTCAGTGCCCTGGAGATGAAGACGTCCAAGTCAAACTCAGGGTCTGTTTCACTGTTCACCTCTGTGGGTTCTTTGTGGAGATGGTGAGGAGAAGATGGCAGGCTCCGTTCCTGAATCTCCGGAAGAGGACTGGGACACTCGAGACCCACCTGTGTGCTCTTCACCCACTGAGCAATCTCCAGAAAGAGGTTGGATGGTTCTTCTTCCAGCGATAGCTCAGCTGCGGGTGCTATGGTTGCTCTTTTCCAGTGGGATAAATCTAAAATTAGCTTGGGCTCTGAGTAATGATGGGGCTTATTGTCTCTCCACAGCAATTTGTCCAAGTAGGAAGGTGAGCCCACTTTGTAATCACACGATTTCCCACAATCAGCATCAAATACTCGGTCCATGGAGGAGTGGGATAGCTCCAAGAACCTCTCTGAGCTGCTCTGTGAGTATTTCCGTGGATCAACCTGTGCTTCTTCAGCGATGGATTCAGACCCTGCCCGGGGGTCCCGCTGAACCTCATCCATGTCGTGGTATTTATCGTGTCTCCATTCCAAATCAGAGGAGAGGCTTACGTGATACCTGCGAAAGACACGCCACTATTAGACACGCAGATGATGGCTTCGCTAGAGGCAGCGGTGCTCAAACAGATACACACGCTGCTGCTTGCTAATATGCCGCTTACCTACACATCTTTAAGTTTATTTATATTATTGAGTATATTATTGATATTAGAAACCTTTTCCTCGTGTGTTAATAAAGGCAGAGGGGCTGAGTAATTTATGAGGAGTCTGAGGCTTGCCCAGGCTGCTTGGACAGGATCAGTAGTGGGAATAAAAGCCCAACAACCAAACCAACTGGCCCCTTCATTTAGCCGATCGTTGCCTTCTCTCCATGCGAGATGAAAACATGATTAACAATATTAATAATCAAACTGTCCCTCAGCCCAGAGACAAGCACCCACAGTGTGAGTACTCCTCATTTGTGGCCATAAAAGTAAAAAAGATGAGCTTAAAACCCCACTGAGATTGGACATGACCAGTTTACTTTGACGTTGTGGACCAAGAGCATCCCTGACGGGTCACCTTGCTAAGCGGTAACTTCTCAAGCCAGTTGAACTCCCTTGATTGCAATTACCCAACAACACCCGTTCTTAGACACGGTTTTCAGAGTGACATCTAATTTACTGGCTCCTAACTGAGCTGCCTTTAAAAGATGTGTTATCCCAGGTATCGGGGCTCTATGTCCTGGCAATGAAACACTCTTCACGTGTCCCACAACACACAAGCAAAATCATTTGCCGTCTCTAAAACACTCAGCTTGTGTTGCAAAATTTATGGCCCTACAGCAGATGTCCCCAGCTGGGTGGCAGGACTGACGGTCTAGGTCCCAGCTTCTTGTGTCACACCAAGAAAGCCAAGGGAGAAAAAGGTGATGAGGTGACATCCAGCAACTGATTTGCTGCTTTGGGGACTAAGACTGGCAGGGATGCCGGGGCTGTGGGGATACACTGAAGACAGATATCCTGAGAAAAGTTTCCAGCTTTCCTCTTTACCTAATTTACCTGGTTGTCTTCCCGAGCCTCCACCCTGATACTTGTTCATCCAGGCAAAGAGATTAACAATAGTGAAGGCAAGGGATTTCTTTAGATTATTTTTTCAGTGCTGGTGAAATATAGTGGATTAAGAAAGCGAGGAGATTTAATTGCTACACGGAGAGGAACAATGCTGCAGACAACCTCAGGCAGCTCACCCCGCTCAGCGGGAAGGAGCTCTATAGGAAAGTGAACCTAGTTAATTCTTAGCTGCTTATTTTCCCTACGTGCTCCGGTACTGGGACTGGCCTAGTAACTGGGGTAATCATCTAGGACATGAGAGACCTCAGCTCAAGGCTTTGATCTACTCTAAACCTCCTGTACTACTTTCAGCAAACCATTTAAAAGTCAACACAATTAAGGATTTTTTAAAAAGACCCCAGATCTGCGGTCTCTGGGGCTTCTGCACCTTGAAAAGTGATAAATATAGAGTTCCAAATCAGGCCCGGTCCCCAAAAGGTACAAGAATTACGTTATTTTATAACTTGTGTTATAGGGACAGAGGGAAGAACCGTAGTGTCACTTAAAGGGATGTAACTCAAATGAAGACAATATAGGCTGTGAATAAAACCGAGAGCAGAAAGACACTCAGTAACTGGAATGTGGAGACTCCACATCTGCTCCCTGCGGAAATCAATGACGAACCTCTTGTTGGCTTCAGCAAGGTGCCAGCTTGGGCTAGAACTACAATATGGCATAAAGAAGAAAAAGCAGGTGTCTTTCACAGGTCTGGAACACGTGTGACTGAACCCAGTAAAGAGCAGGTCAGAGACTCACCAGTCAAGTTCTGCCTAAAGAATTTAAGCCAGTACGTGGCCTCTGGCCCAGCCTCGGGTACCATACCTGTCCCAGTTAGACATCTGGCTCTGGTTGGCTTCCATCAGTAAAATATCATCAATCTCATCCTCAATCCGGAACGGATGCTGAGACACTGGTTCATCCTCGGGGCAGGAATACGGACTCATGTAAGGATGCTGCAGACCCATCTCAGCCGTTAATCGATCCATAGGGTTAAACGTCAGTATCTTCTCCAGAAAATCAATAGCTGTGAAGCAGAGAGAAACAAGCTCACTAATTCCTCAAAAGCAATACCAGCTTCCTTTCCAGGATGAGCCTCGTGAATCCCCCATAACAAATCCCTGCGGAGCAAGGAAGGAATTAAAGGTCACATCCTGCGCGCATCTAAAATGCGCGTTTCTGTCCTAGCTGCATCCATCTTACCCACCACGGGAGCTCTGTGCTTGCAGCGGAGCACTCTCACAGCCCGCAGTCCATCTAGCAGGGCAGGAGAAATGCCCGTGAGAGCGTCGCACCTCCACAGGACGGCACATACGTGTTACACCCAGTGTTGCCATCCCGGGCCAGAACGCTAAGCTCGTACCCCAGAAAAGACCTTTGGACGATCTTGGGATTTGATCCTATGCTCTCAGACCCATTCGACAAGCACACGGCGTTTTGGACAGCTGATCGCACGTCTTTATGCGCAACTAGAGCGGGATTAGATTTAAAGCGCAATTTTTAAAAGTCCTTGGCGTGACCAACACTATGAAATTATTTTGCCCGCTAATATTTAAAGAAACCTGAGTGCCTAAAATTTTTTAAGAGAAACCATGGAGCATGAACTCCTTCTAGGATGATGAAGGAGGAAATTAAGCGCAATTAAAGTGACTAGAATTAACTCTAACTGTATAGGGTTTATTGTGATTTCTTTGACGATTCCTTTTACTGGGGTTATGTGAAAAGATCAAATCCTGTCATTAAAGACGTTGCTTATTCCGTTGATTCTTGGTGCATGGCAGGGTCCCTTAGAGTTCAGATGATACAAACAGGAATACACCTTCCTTCAGTTACATTTTTGGCATTGTACCCTCAGAAATATCCCCATTAAAGACTTAATTGTGTGAATGGGACCGTTTCTTTAGGGGCAAAATCACTCAGCAGAACGGGTGGGCCATACCTATTGCCTCAGTGCTTAAACATTAACCAATATCCGACTGTCTCCCATGGGATTATTTCATTGCTTGGACTAATTAAGTAGGAAGGAATCAATAGCTTCATAAGGTCACTGGCTGCGGGCAAGAAGCACGGTGGAACGATGTATTACAAGTTATATATTACGATATATTACTGGTCAGAGAGGCAGGAAAATGCTGATGAATTATGTAAAGGGCGCAGGTAACCTTTCTTCCCGCAGTAACAACAGGGAATAAATCCATTCATGCTCGCCGGAGGCTGATGCAGTCCCTGGATAACCCAGGACGATGGGTATTGCGCTGCCAAGCCCATATAGCGGACGTCTTATAACGAAGAATTATGCCAGCGAACATAAGCCAGGCTTGGTCTTGACGTCTTCCCAAAAGCAGGTGGCCAAGTCCACCAGCCCGGTTGGTGCTGAAGCCTTGGAAGGAGCTCAGAAGAGCTGACGTGCCCTGGTCCACGCTGCTCAACTCTTAGCTGCCACCCTGCAAGCTCTCACTGCCTACAAAACTGCTCCAGGCAAAAGTTCAGGTCCAGAAGCCTGCGGTTTGCAGCCCCCTCGCAACAACACACTGCTGGTATTTTTTAAGCTTTAGCTGAAGGAGGGAAGGGGCTGAAGTGGTATTTGAGCATTGCAGCCTGCGACAGCCCGACACGAGTGATATCCAAGCCTCGGAGCACTTGGACAATGTTTCTGCCTGTAGCAACCATCTCAAGGAGTTCAGATATTTGTGAAGTAAAAGCATTTATTTTCTTGTACTATACAATTGCATTCATGCAAAAAGCACAGCAAGAAAATGAACAGGGCTTGAAAACAACCTCTGGGCTGAACCCTCGCTTAAAGCTCAAGAAGAGGCACAGGAAAGCCGGGATGCCCCTTGAAAGTGTCTTGGAATAGTCTTGGAAGACTATTTCACCCTTATTTCTGTACAAGCTACCTGCAAGAAAGCTACTGCACCGTGAGTGCTGTCCTGCAGCCCATGCCTTCCCCGGTGGGATGGCGAGCAGGACCCGGGGGGGACAGCGGTGGGGACACGTGAGCTCCAGGTGGGAGCAAGCGTTGCAGACCCTCAGGTATCTGAACTCTCCTTCACCAGCAAGCACGCACTTGGCCTTATAGAATCATAGAATCATAGGATGATCCCCATGACCCCCTGGGGAAATAGGTCTGAAAACACGGCAGCCAGGGGAAGCCCCAGGAGAAGGACATTGCCGAAGCCAGCGGGCACTACGGTACCTTCGGCAGCGGCTTCCTCACTTCCCAGGTGCTGTTGATGAACATGGGCATCACTTTGAGCAGCTCCTCTTTGTCTTCCTCATGGATAACGGGGATCGTCTCCAGAATAAGCTGCATCTGTTCCAGCTCGTGACCCCCTACATGGGTAGAAAACAGACAGTGAGTTGAGACCCAGAAGTTAAATCAGCAGGGGGGTGGTGGTGGTGCAGCGGCTTCCTCACTTCCCAGGTGCTGTTGATGAACATGGGCATCACTTTGAGCAGCTCCTCTTTGTCTTCCTCATGGATAACGGGGATCGTCTCCAGAATAAGCTGCATCTGTTCCAGCTCGTGACCCCCTACATGGGTAGAAAACAGACAGTGAGTTGAGACCCAGAAGTTAAATCAGCAGGGGGGTGGTGGTGGTGGGAGTGGTGTTATCAGCCACCCTCCTGCATGGCCACCCCTCTGGAATGAGCCACGGCACTGCAGCGCCGCATCTCCCGCTGGCCCCTCCACGCTGATGCGTCCCTGCATCAGCCACCACTCTTGGCTCCCAGGAAAATGTGCTGGGACTCCCAGCCGGCTCACTCTTTCAGGGTGAAAGAGTTAACCTAGACAATTTGCTCTCCTGGTGTAATCAGGCTGTCTGCACAGCTTTTAGACTAACATAGTGTTGTAGAGTCGTGGTTCAGCCCCAGCCAGCAGCTCAGCACCCCCCAGCCACTCGCCCACTCCCCCTACCCCGATGGGATGGGGGAGAGAATCGGAGGAGTGAGAGTGAGAAACACTCCTGGGCTGAGATAAGAACAGTTTAATAATTGAAACAAAGTAAAATAGCAATGATAATAACAACAATATAATGATGATAATAACAATATACAAAGCAAGTGATGCCCAATGCAATTGCTCACCACCCGCCGACCGATGCCCAGCCAGTTCCCGAGCAGCGATCGCTGCTCCCCAGCCAACCCCCCCAGTTTCTATACTGCCCATGACGCCGTATGGTATGGAATGGCCCTTGGGGCAGTTGGGATCAACTCTTCTGGCTGTGCCCCCTCCCAGCTTCTTGTGCCCCTGGCAGAGCATGGGAAGCTGAAAAGTCCTTGACTGGCATAAGCAGCACTGAGCAACAACCAAACCATCAGCATGTTATCAGCATTCTTCTCATACTAAATCCAAAACACAGCACTGTGCCTGCTGCTAGGAAGAAAATTAACTCTATCCCAGCCGAAACCAGGACACGTAGCCATCTTTTTAAAATGGCTATGAAGCAAAAACCATACCCTACTGAAATCAGGGGGCATGGGAGCCATTATCCATCAGCGGGGTCCATCCTGCACGATGGAAGGAGACAGATAATGGCTCTACCAGCCCCCAAACTGACGACCCTCTTGAAGCAATACTACGGCAGGTCTTGTTTGTAACCCCAGATGAAGCATCCTGGCTCACGCGGCTGCGGCCAGGCAGAGCAGTGCCCCATGCCATCACCACGCGACCCTGCCACGTGCTGTGCTACGCTGAGAAGCAAAGCCCCTCTGTGCAGCGGCGACAAAAAGCACTGCCACAATCCCAGCGATAACGAGAAGATCGTGAACCCAGCTCCAGGAGTCCCAAAGCTTCATCTTTAAATGAATGCAAGTGCCCGACCTCTGCGCTCTCCCGATGGGAAAGGGGTTTTCTGAGCAAGTCCCACCTGGCTGCTGGGCACCAAGTCAAGGCTCTGATGGTGACGATCCCCACAACTGTCATGAGCAATCACATATTTTTAAATCCTTTTCCTTCAGGACACATTTATCCACGCATCCCTAAGCCCCCGCTCAGGACTGGCTACCAGTCGGGGCGAGCAGTGGCCGGGGGGGGGGGGCGGGGCGGCACGGCCGACTGCCTCGTTAATGAACGTTAATCTCATTCTTTAGCACACTATTGGATGCGACCAAGAGCTCCGCGGCTGATTTCCAGCTTCCTACGTGTACAGAGAAGCAGCCTGGCAGAAATACTGAGTCGCGCTATTGATTTTCTGTCTGCCAGAAATGCCGGTTATAAATATTCTGTCATTAGAGGCAGGACTATCCATTAAGACAGCGAGCTGGCTGGGGCGGACAAACCAAGGGGGATTTTTGGGCTACCAAGCCCCTTGCTGTCCCACTGATGGATTTTAGGCTGCTTCACCAGCAAGCAGCGCCCGGCTGATCCACGGCAAGAGGAGTGAACCTCATTTATGGCACAGCACTTCTGATCAGTCTGCAGGGAGGGCGGAGAGGCCAGCTCGTAGGGGATGGTGGACACCGTCGCTGGCTTCACACCCTCAAGCGACCCTGTCCCTTTGGAGGTCGCCGGCACCTGGCAGGGGCTGCCCTTCCCAGCCCAGAGCTCCCTGCGGGTCTGCAGGAGGTTTCCCGACTCAAATCCATGGAGCTGACCCCAACCACACCCCCGCCAGGCAAGGGTAGGTCCAAACGTCGAGGTTGGGAAAGGGTCTCCATCCATCATGGCCTCATCACTCCAACAAGGTTTGGTTCAATGCAGTTGCGGACACTTTTACCCCAAATAGCAGAGCTCCGAGCCAGGACGCGGCAATGAACTTGGACAACCCCACACCAACGCTGACATTAGCACGGCTGGTCACCGTCACACCACACGTCCGCTCTGAACAAAGCCTCAGAAGAAGATAGAGCAACAGGAAAAGCAAAAAAGACAGAGGGACACCCTCCTAATATCAATCCTGGGCAAATGAATTCACTTTCCTATAGAAAAACTAATTTTAGCTCATTTAGAGGTTGGCAGCATGGCTCCAGGAGAAACTGAAGATGGCCATCGGGAAACAAACACCTTGTTAGTCAGGCTAATTCCCAACCCGTCATCAAAATTACAGGGTATTAAAAGTCACAAAGGCGTTGTGGCTGTTCTCCTCTCAGGGCAGCTGCAGCCGCTGCTCACCGAAGGTATCTGGCAGCCAAGAGGCACCGTGTTCGGTCACACAAAGAAGCTGCTAACGCAGCGCTGGAAGTGTTGCATTACGGCTCTCAGGAACCCAATTCTCCACCATGATCCTCTCTTTATGTAATTCCTAGGGACCTTCTGGAGGCATTAATTCCTGAAAAGAAAAACAGAAACTACAGATGGAATAAGCGCAACGTGCTGCCGTTACCCGAGGAGAGAACGAGGAGCTCTGCCTCGCGCCTTGGAAAAGGGAACCTTTCCCCGGGCTAGCAACCAAGTGCCGGGTGAGCACCCAAGCCCTGCTAGTGAATCCTCCGGGAGCAAGCAGCAATCCCATGGGAAAAGCCACCGCGCCACCTCCTAGCGCTCGGGCATGGGCACAGCCCCACTGGTAAACTCCATGGAGATCTGCAAGGACAGGCGGTTTTTCTTTTTCTCCTATTTTCTCTTGCTTCCACTGGCAATGCTTTCGGATACGCTTCGGCAGCAGATGGTGGAGAAGTCACTGGAGGGAGCTGTAGCCGCCTGGTTACGGATGCTCTTCCCTGTTTTCCATGCTGCTCATGGTGGGGAGCTCTCCAAAGGTCTGCGAACCAGATTTTAGCTGTTGGAGACGTGCTACGCTCCTGTGAGCTTTGGGTTAGCCCAATTTCTTGTGCCCACCTTTTTTGCTCCTGCCCGCCCCATCGCCCAGAGAAGGGGCTGCGGGGAGGGCGAGGGGGCTGGGGGTCCCTCTCTGCTGGGTGTTCGTTAACTCGTGTAGGAGAATGAAAGCAGCGAGTGACATCTATTCCTAATAACCAACCACCTTAAATTAACTGCATGGCTTAAGCACCCCAGATAGACTCCCGAGTTAATTATATTGACTTATGCTAAGCACCCAATTTAAATTGTGCCGCTGACGCATACTCAAAAGCCAATTTATCCAGTGTGAGGCAATTACTGGGGGTTTGCAACGTTCTGGGAACTACATCGCTGTTATTTCCCACGGGGTGCTTGCTGGTGACCCAGGACTCTCCAAAAGTCTCGTCCTGCAGCGGTGGGGGCTGCAGCTGGCTGGCGGCAAACTCCTTCTCCCAGGCAAAGAGGAGAAAAGCAAAAGCAGAGATGAACCCACGCTGTCCTGCAAGTGTTTGCCAGCTTTTAGCTATTCTGAGTGGTTGGGTTTTATTCTCCTCCTCTTCGGACACCAGCAGATGACAGACGGTGCGTGCCACAGGACACCACGGGCACCCTGCCCCGCTGCCGGGCTCCCGCCCCGGCTCTTCTTTACTTACTGGTATAGGAGGAGGTCAGGAAAATGGAGCACAGGGCCAGGACCTTCCCGTAACAACTCTAGAGATTATTTTTAAAGCAACCTGAGAGGAATATGTATTTTGAGCTTTGGTTTTGATCCCCACCCATTAACTAAGTATCCTGCCATCACCTGGGGGCTCATTAAGCGACGGCACAGGGCTGGAAAGCAGAGAAGCAAGGATGCTCGCAGTGCTTGTCTGGCTGAGCCCAGTCTGTGATCTGCAAAATCCCATCTCCTGATCTCTAAGCTGCTGTGGACTCTCTGGAACCAAGCTGCAAAGTCGGTTCCCGTATGGCGGCTCTGGGGCATCTCGCCTGGGCAGCCGGGACAGGACTGATCTCACCTGTAGCCATGCGCAACACCCATGTGGGGACTTCAGCTTGTTCTGCAGGTGCTCTTCATGAGCAGTAGTGGAAAAATAAATATTTCTAAGGCACAATCTCAGCTGAAGGCAGACAGAGGCCAGATGAATCGCGTGCTGGAGCTGCCTTTGCCTCTGCCTTGACCACGAAGGCAGCTTGAGGGAGCAGCTCGGACACTTAGGCGGTAGATGGCTGGTGTCAGCCAACGTAGCTTCTACCCCGGGGGTCCACAAAGAGCACAAAAACCAAGCTGGGGCTGACACAGGGGTCAAGCGCAGTTTGGAAAGCCACGATAAAGATGAGTCCTTGGGTTCTCTGATGGAGACGGCCAGAGAAGGACGTGGACAATCCAGTTTGTTTTGCTGTTTGACATGAGAAGCAAGTATAGGAAAAGAGAGATTGACTTAAGAGTCCAAAAAGATTTCCCCGGGGCTCCAGCTACACCCAGTTTAATATGAGGTGGCGTGTTGCTCTGGTCTGGTGCAACTCCTGCAGGACCAGGACCCTGCCATCGGCGCTGGGGTTCGCTTCTGCTGCTCTGGTTTACCTGGGGCGATTCGGATCCGGTGCCCTGGACTGGCAGAACCTTAGCTCTGTCCTGGAAAGGCGTCATCCAGTCTGCTTCCACCCAAAAAGCTCAGAGACTCTTCCACGGTGCAAACCACGGCTCGGCAAGGGGAGGCGGCTGGCAGAGCTGCCTCAGGAGCTCGCTCACGTGCAGCATCTCCCAGCGAGACCAGAAAATGCCCTGTGCCTGCAGGGACAAGTGGCACATGGAGACGTCCCCGCTCCTGGAATACATCCCGAGGAGGCGGCAGGAGCAGCCAGGTCTGATGCATAATTTTCAGAGCTGAAGTCCCTGGACTTGAAAATTGTGGGGAGGGGAGACTGAGGACAAAAGGAAGGAAGGAAAAGGAGGCAATTTTAATGATCTCTTCGAAATGATACTGACTGCTTAATATTCAGCTTTCACAAAAGAAATATGGAAGCTGCAAGCAGGAGCGGGGAGGGAGCGACAGAGCAGCTGCAGTCAAACACCGGCTGCAGAGCTCTGCGGGGCACTGAAATATTTGTGAAGAAAATGTCCTTCTCCATTATTAATGGGTCTAATTATTTATTTACACAACTCGGCGAACAGCTGCTCCCGAAATGCGTTAAACCTTTTCAAAACACTAATGGGTGATGGAGAGACAACCAAGGAGGAGCATTGCTGCAGACCCCGGGCAGGGACGCAGCTTGTTCAACAGGCAGAGAGCGGCTGCTTCATTCCTGAATGAACGGCTCCGCGTCCCAGCTTGGGAAGCAAGCTTTGCTCCCAACAGTAGCGTTTTTGGGATCATATTAAATAAAGATTCGCTTCTCAAGAACATCGGAGTTGAGCTTCAAATGCTGCACTGATGATTAGGTGCTCCTTGCCGGTGCTTTTTTTTGTCTTCTTTTCCTTGCGCTGCACCTTTACAACTCCAATACCCGCTTACAGGAAAATCCTGAAAATGGCTGAAAATGGGTAGTGGCATTCAAATGTGTTCCCTCAAAGAAAAGAAATACCTTGAAGACACCAATCACAATTCAAAACCACGGCATAGAGTACAAACGGGGCCACATTATCTCCTGTCCTATGCTCCACCCTATGATATTTTTTTAGCATCCTCCCTCCCAACAAAAAGCTCTTCTTTTCTGTTGGAGACCCAGAAACAGAAAAAGGTTTTGTTGTTTCATCAGAATTCTTCTTTCTTAGGGGTTTTGCTGTCGGCAGCAGACCGTCCCTGCCCGGCAAGGCTCGGCACAGAGGCACCGTCGACTCCGGCCACCCTTGGGCACCCCATCCGCCCCCGCCCAGCCTGGGGCCCCCCCCCGGCCGGCGGCTTCCCACTGGCTGCCATCACGGCCGTACCACCACGTGTCCTTCCCAGGCAAGCACAAGAAGGCTGAGTGAAAATCAAGACGATAACTCTTCTCCGTCCCCAGGGGCCTGCCTGTATGAGGGAAGTTTACACCAACCACGGGACCCTCTACTAGCAGAGGTTGCGCAAGTGGAGTTTGTTCTCGAGACAGCTCTCGTGTCTAATAACCAACCGTAGGATCCCTGTAGCGATGCTACAAGCTGGGTGGCAAGGAGAGGGGAATTCCCTCTGCCACGCTAAAATGCCCTTTGAATTGGGTAGCAAGGAAGAAGGGAAGGATTACAGAAATTAATCAACGGGAGCCAGAAACCTACCAGCAAAGAGCATCCTTCCCGTCAGCATCTCGGCCAGGATGCAGCCAGCCGCCCACATATCGATGGCTTTGGTGTAGTTGTTTGGCGAGAGGAGGAGGCGGGGGGAGCGATACCATTTTGTTACTAAGCCTTCGGAAAGGTAACCCTGAAAAAGCAGAAACAGAGACATCAGCAACCTTGCAAGAGAGCTCCTCCGCTCCTCCCCGGTCAGCCCTCACTGCCCGCCGTGGCCCCACCATCGGATCCTGCAGAGGAACCTGCCCACCGTGCTTGTGCTGCATCTGTGGCAGGCTGCGGTCGTGTATCTCGCAGGAAGCAAAGAGGTGAGACATGCACTGCTGGAAACAGAGACGCTTCACTGCTCCAGGAGGCAAAGCGCTTGCTGCTCCCCAAAAACTTATTTGCTGTTTGGCACCGGGGTATTGAAGCATCTTCCGCAAAGGACAGATGGCTTTGATAGCACAGATTTGCAGCTCATACCTGCAAAAGTTATTTCAGGTTGCTATTGGAAGACTTAGATGTATTATATAAATCCCAATTTCACCATCTGAGACATTTTGGAAGTTAAGCACATTAAATACTTCGCTGGGTCCCAGCTATAACCCACGGGTGCACGAAGGAAGCCTTTCCCAGCTCGGTACCCACAAGCGCAGTGCTTGGATTTCCAAAAGTTACCCGTTCGCAATCTTTTGCCGATTCCATCTCCAGTTAAGCTTACACCTATAGTCCCCCCATAGCTACCTAAACTGCTGGTAACAGCAAGCTCCGTGCCGCTGAATTCCCACAGATCCAACTCCCAGCACTGATGCTGCAATGGAATTTTTGAAGGGCAGGAGCTCCCTGGGGAGCCCACGCAAAAGCAGCTGCCCGTGGGTCAGCCCTGGCTGGGCGCAAACCCACGGCGAGCACCGGGGGACCCACAAAACCGGAGCAGGGGTGGCACGGGGAGCACACAGGGCTCCCGAGCGGGCAGTGCCCAGAGGATGCGCTCAGCAGGATCCGGCCTCTCACAGAAGCCAGGCGAGTTCGCCCTGCCTGCATCCTGGGGATGCTGCTGCAGGGAACCCCGCTTCGGTTTGGGAAACGTGCTGGGAACGGCGGATGAGCCCGTGCAGCATCTCACAGGGGTGAGACGTGGGATCTTGTAATAAAGAGGAGAACAAGCAGACGGGCAGAAAATCAGATTTATGGAGGAAAATCACTACCGCCTGGAAGGTGGTTTCAAAAAATGGGCAGAGGTGGCACTGGGGGACATGGTTTAGTGGGCATGGGGGTGTTGGGTTGGTGGTTGGACCGATGATCTTAGAGGTCCTTTCCAACCTTAATGATGCCTAGTTTTACTTTCATTAAAAAATAATCCAGCCACCAAGCCAGGAAACATGAAATTAATTATGACTCTCCCCTGAATTGTTTTAGTGGTGGACTTGGCAGTGTTAGGTTAATGGTTGGACTGGACGATCTTGAAGATCTCTTCCAACCTAAACCATTCTGTGATTCTATGAAGTCCCCTGGACGAGCAGATGTCTTAAAGCACCGCTGAGCGGGTAACACAGCCCCGCAAGGGCTCCTAGCCACGACTCTTGAAAATAAAACGCCATGGGATAAGTGGGAGAGCCCTTTTGGGGATTAGCTAGCTGACGAAGAGCTAGGAAACCCTGCCCTTTCTGCACCGAGCCTGAGCCCTGCCTAATAAATCGCCTCCCTCCCTTGCCGCCAGCATCGCCTCCGGCAGCCGGCTGGCGTGGGGCAGGTCCTCGTCCCCCATCCTACTTTGCTTACAGTGCGGCTGGTCGGCTGGGATGCTCGATGGTTTTAAAGGAGATGCCCTCAGCAGCACCCCGCAGGACAAAGACCGAGCACCCTCGTCTCTTTGGACCACAGCCCTCCCGTTCCGGCACTCACCCGGGAGATTTAACACAAGTGCCAAGCGCTCAGCAGCTCCTGCCGAAATCAAGGGGGTGCGTTCAATCCTGCAAATAACACTGGCATCGTACGGAATGTCCCAGCGCCCCCGGCTTCGCCCGCCGGCCAAGCTGCGGATGCGCGGATGCCACGCTAGGGCTGGACATGAATGGTTATTTCGTGAGGATAACGTTGGAATATTCGCAAGTGGTATTTTCTATATGAAATATAACGCATTAACAGAACGCGGTAGATTGAAACACAATAGAAAAGATGAAATAAAAGGGAATTATAAAGTTGAACTGCATTTAAACGCCACGAAACATTTGGAGAGTATCAAAATGCAATGACAGCATGAATAAAGTTCACATAAAAACTCGGTTAAAAACTCCATCCTAACTGATATACTTTCCTGAACTGTTTTCAGTTGCGATGTAACTGCGGATGCAGTTACGCTGTGTAACATCTCTTAGGATGTTCTAGGATACATCTCTCAGCCTAAACACGAGAGCAGCGCGCCATCACGCCCACTGCGAGCTTTGTAACGCTCCTCTTCCCCCAATGCACGTTTTTGTTCCCATTTCCAAACGTGCAAGTCGTCAAGCTTGTAATCATAAAGGGTTTGCTTTTAAAAAAAACATTTTAATTTTGGTCATCTTAAGACAAATTGTAATGGAGACTGATTAGCTGAGAAGTTTCATTTAATGCGGTTATATTTTTGCTAATGCTGCTGAATCAGAACTGGCACAAAAGCCCCCAGGCATTATCCGATCAGACCGCTGCTTTTCAGCTACTGCAATTATTCCCAACAATGGAGGTGTTGGTATTTATTGGAAAAATCCTAAGAAAATAAACTCTGGGGATAGCGATCCAGGGCAATTCCTGGCCAGAGCAATTTCCTCCCTTTCCCAGCAAAGGAATGCCACCCTCCTTACAGATTTAATGCTCGGTTCATAGGTTTCTCCTCCCTGACAGCAAGACGGATTTGAATTCTCGTGGGTGTGCGCACCATGCAAAATGTATGAGCAGTATACCGCAAATATCTGTATGTTGCAACAAGCCAAACCTTTTCTTCCCCAGGCATCTCTCCTGTATCGGAGAAAATTCCCTGCAAAAACTCACCGAATATTTTGGACACATCTTCAACCCCTCCCCTGATGTGTGAGGTTACTGGTGGTAATTAATTAGCAGCGCTTCTCATTGCGCTTCCCTCTTCCGTCACCCGTCACCGTGTACTTGACCGTCACCTCCCTGCTTTCATCTGCTGCATAAGGCATGGCGAGAGCCCGAGCACTTCCCGCATCACCTGCGCAAGGCATGGGCTTTAGCACAAGAATTTCACCGTTTATGTAGATTCAACCAGAGAGAAAGACCAGGAGCAGAAGCGTTTTAATTAGTTCTAATTAAGATGGAACATACATCTTCATGACAATATTCTGTGGATTCAGCACAGCCCTTTCTGAACTGAAGAACCACTGGAATCTCTTTAAAAACCAATACAATTGAGTTAATTTAAAAACAGAAAGAATTTCCAGTCCAAGGCTTGCTCTCAAGCCCTCCCATGCTATTTTTTTTTTTTTTCAATTTTCAAGTATCATTTTCCTGCTCCTCCTCTGCTCCTGCAGCATGGGTGGGAACAGCTCAGGCAATCTATAAAGGTGATGAATTCGCTACAGGTGGGATAAGCATTGAGTTGTATCAAATAGCACAGCACGGAAACTGAAAAGCAAAGAGAAAGGAATATTTCTTCCAATCTTTACACAACACAGATTTTGTGCACTGCTCGTAACGCCAGAAGAAGAAACGATTCCGGGTGGGCGCGGGTGCTGCTGCATCCCGGCGTCACACCGGTCACGGCACGCTGGACCGCCTCCATCCCAAGCACGCCGAGGGAAGCTGGCACGGCACGGCAGCACGTGGGGAGCACGGCAAGACCCGCCGATGCTCCGAAACGACCAGTGCCCGAGCCCGGAGCTCCTCCTTGGAGCTGGAGGGACGAAGAGCAGGTCTCCTCAAGGCAGATGCCGAAATTCAGGATCCCACCTACCACAAGCCAAGCAGCCCCTAACGCTGCAGGCCAAAGCTTCTCCCGAAAGTCTTTCACACCAAAAATCCATCTTCCTGCACTCAAAAAGCTGCAGAGGTGCAGACCAGGTGCCCATGAACTGGAAATCCAGCAGGATCCAGCCACAGCCGGGAACAGGATTTCTGCTGCTGCACCCACGGGAGCCAGGTTGGCTCCTGGTGCAGATGGCTGCAGTGCCAAGTGGGGGGGGGGCCTCAAAATAGCAACAACCCCAAGCTTTCGGGATAATCCTGGTGCAGCAGCAGGCTGGTACCTCTTCACAGCCTGTTTTTGAAGCTTATTTTTTAAAAGGCAGGTAGGGTGTTTTCTAGGAGAGGCTGGGAAAGACAGCGGGTTTGCAGGAACGTTGCTCCATAACAAAAATAATAAAATTGGCTCCAGCAACGTGACGTGTATTCTCATCGTTTTGGGATGACAGAGTGCATTTATTTCAGGACTGCAGACTGTTACGTGCTTCATCAGAGGACAGAGGAGCAGAAAAACCGAGTCAGGTCGCAGCAGGAAGGCTCAGCGCTGGCTGCGCGGGGCCACGGGCAGCTGCCTGAAGGTTGAACGTGGAGGGAGGTCCCCTCCAGGGTGAGTCCAGAGCAACGTCCCACGTCCTCAGCTCCTTTCAAGACCTCTTCATGATGACCCACCTGGGAATTTTAGTATTTTACTGGATGAACTGGAAGCTATTATGTTTGCGCTGATCAGCAAGTACAAAAGGAAGGGAGGACTTCAAAGGTTTGAAGATGTTCTGGAAGCTATTTACCATGAGATGTCCCCTGAAAAGGGCTTCTGCACCCTCCTTAGCGTGGAATTTCTGCCAATTAATTCTGTAATTAATGTTGCCGATAGGCAAAGCGAGAGAGGGGCCCCTGGCAGCCCCATGCAGATGCCCCCAAGCGCTTTGGGGCACCAGGCAGAGCCCCCAGAAGAGGTAAGCGATCTCGTACAACACGGGCAGGCTAAGGAGCGTCCCACTTTGCTGTCTTGTCACCCGAGTAAAGAGATTCAGCGAGTCTCCATATCCCCATCAAGC